ACCTGTCCCCCAACCGTCCACCTGTCCCCCAACCGTCCACCTGTCCCCCAACCGTCCACCTGCTGCAGACGTCTCGTCCAGCTACCAACAAACCCCACAGGAAGTCATCAGGAGTCATGTTTTTAACTTCCTCAGGCTCAAACAGTTTCAGTGAGTCAGGATCCGTTCTGTGAACCTTTGGTTCTGAACTTTAAACCCAATAAAACAAACGGGTCGTGGTTCTGATTCTTAGAAATAATKTGTCAAAATAATGAAATCTTACTTCATTAAAGAGTTCTGCGGCTGGTTAAAAGAAGAAGTAAACTTTTAAACCCACTACAGCTTCTGTTTGTCCCCCCACCACAGCCCTGGTGGACCACAGCTGGCCCGTGGGCCACCGTTTGATGATCCCTGCTGTGTGACATCTGATGTTTCCTGTCAGCCTGAGCAGCTTTGATTCAGACACAGTGTGTGGTCCAGAACCACAACCAGAACCACAACCAGAACCAGGCTGAAGCTGACCACAAACAGACAGATGTGGTTCTGGCCTGAGGTTCTGAACCCGTTAGCTGGACTCTTACCGTCACATTTCTGGGAGATCTCGTTGAATTTGTGCCCAGCAGGACATTTACACTCGAAGGATCCGACAGTGTTGATGCAGTTTCCTCCCTGACAGATGCCGGGGATGGCCTGGCACTCATCCACATCTGCACACCAGATTATACACCACAGATTATACACCACAGATTATACACAAGAGATTATACACCACAGATTATACACCACAGATTATACACAAGAGATTATACACCACAGATTATACACAAGAGATTATACACCACAGGCAAAGTGGTTTATGTACAGGTGTGTGTACAGGTAAAGTTTATATGTACAGGTGATCTGTTATAGCATTAAATACAATCAAACTCATGTCTACTAAATTAAACTGATTTGATGAATCGAAATGAGTAAAATGAAGGAATCAGGCTGAAAATCTGCAGGAAGCTGTTGACCTTCTGCCATGTCCTGAGTATCTTATGTTCCTGCGGGTCCTGGCTCCAGTCCGCCTCCCCTGCCGCGACTCTGATGTTGTCGGGTTCGGAACAGAAAGGTACTTTTTACCAGAAATGAGCGTTCCCATTTGGCACCGCCACTGACCCATGTTACTGACTCTGACAGTCCCGCCGCAGCAGGTGTCTGAGGGCATTCCATACACATGTGGGAAGCACCCCTGCCGACCCAATTTAACTCAATCAGAACTAATCCCCCAGAGGGGAGGGGGCCGGTGATGGAGGAGGAAAAAGTTAGACGCAGCAGTTTATTCACAGAAATGTATAAAAACAGAAAGGAGCCTCGGCCCCCAGGATCAGACTTTACCTTGGCACGCCCCGGTCCGGTGGTTTGGTATGAATCCTCTCCGGCAGGGGTGGGGCTGAGCCGGGCACATCTCACAGGGGTGACCCCACGCACGCCCCACCGTGGCGCAGCACAAGGTTTTGGTGCACACGATGCCCGTTAGCTGGCCCTGACACATCTGGTTGTTAACGGAGGCAAAACACGGACCGGTCCGGTAATCTGCAGACAGAAACAAGACTTTACTTCTAACAACTGATGGATAGAAGGAAAAATACTATTCTGACAAACATTAGATCAGAAACTTTACTATGAAAGAAGTTTTTTGTGTTTTGGTCTAAAGATACATATTTGTGAGACATTTCATTTGTTGATGTTTCGCTTGAAGTGTGCGGCTCTCATTAGATGTCTGCTTAGAACTTCACCAGGATTCTCCTAACAAATGAAGGTAAGATACTGACATCAATTAAACTCTCCTGACAATCATAAAATGAACCGATGTGTTCAAGGGCAACCAATGTACAGATAAATGTGTTCGAGGACAACCAACGTACCACTGTGTTAGAGGACAACGAATGTACCGATGTGTTCGAGGACAACCAACGTACCGATGTGTTCGAGGACAACCAATGTACCGATGTGTCCAAGGATAACCAATGTACCGATGTGTCCAAGGATAACCAATGTACCGATGTGTTCAAGGATAACCAATGTACCGATGTGTT